AATCAAAAATTTTACAGGCGTGGTAGCGCGCCTGTTGTTCCGGATACTTGGAAGGCTGAGGCGGAAGGATCGCCGGAGCCCAGCAGGTCGAGGCTGCGGTGGCCGAGAGTGTTCCACTGCACTCCAGTCTGGGCGATGGAGTGAGACTCCAACTCAAAAAAAAATTTTTTTTAAACAGCTTTAACATTTATTCATTTTTTAAATGAATCGATTACACATTAACATTTTTACGGAAAACAGCTCCCAAATCTTCCTCCCCCTCAATAGTGAATAGTATGGCATGTTACATTTTGCAAATCTCTATAATTTCTGACTAAAAGTCAGCTGGATTCTCACATCTGCTTCTGAATTCAATCTATTATCAACGTCATATAGCCTCTGGAAAATTCCACGGTACATTTGTAAATGAGAGTGAGAATGGCAAATGTTTTAGTACTATGACAACAGTTTTGAATTTAAAAACCTCCTGAAAGGGTCTCAGGGTTTCCTAGATTATGCTTTGAGAACCATTTGTCCAAACTAATCATAATAGTTTCATTCTTTTCACCAGCAGTTGGTTTAGGGGTGGGCACAGGCCCCTGTTCTAGACAAGGAAAAGAGAAGCAGTGTGTTTAGTGGGGCTTCTAAAGATTCCCTCTCCTAAGGAGACACAAGAAGAGAGGGCCATTATCTACACCTCTGGACCAAGTAAGGTGGCTGCACACCCAGACACAATAATCAAAAGATGAAACCAACAGGGAAAAATCTCAAGCAGAACAGACCCCAGGTATATAATGCCTAGAGTTGTCCTACCTCTGAACTTCTTGGATGTGAGATAACCTGACAACTGTGTGCAAGGAGCCCATGGGTATGCTAAAGTTAGGGGACAGATTTTTGTAACTGGAGGTACTAGGGGCAGCCGCAAAGAAAGTAACACTTCAATTTATATTGAAGAATGAGTGTGGAACAAAGAAAAGGTTGAGTATACCAAATGTGTAGGTTCTCTCATTTTCCCTTGTTAAACTAATCTTCCTCTCTTCCTCTCAAGCCTCCCCTCACCTCATCCTCTCCTTAAATATTCAATTTCAGAAACTCAGTAGAGCCTACAGACACAAGAAGTAGTGTATCTCTTATGAGGGAAAAGTGACAAAATGATTTTAAATGTTTCTTTATTCATAAACTTGATGCAAGTTTACAAAATTTACTGTACATTGCCAAATAAATCTGCAATGAAAAATAAAATCCAAAAAACAAAGCATGCCAAATGTGCAGCTGTCAATCTGCTAGTCATTAGGATATTAAAGAATTCAATAATGTATTCAAGATTTAGCCTTAGGTTTAAGGAACTTTAATGCTTTAAAGAATTCTGCCTTGTCACTTGTTATCTGAGCAACTGGCAATCAGAACTTTATACAAATGTAACCAAGTGAACAAGAATACCAGAAAATCTTTACCTACTGCCCTCTTAACCAAAATAGAATCAAAAGAAATTAAACACACACAATAATATGGAAGTGCCAAGTCTCTTGGGTGTGGATTACAAAGTTAAAAACTGAATCTTAAAGCAAATGCAGAAGAAACACTTTGAACTTTGTAACTGGTTTGTGCAGAAAAATGTGCTTCTGGGTTTTTTTAAAAGTGCTTAATAACTAGAATTTACTTTTAAATCAAACTGGGTGTATAAAAAAGTCTATTATCAACCAAACAGGACTGATTCAGGTAAGGCAACAAGATGGAGAGTACCTTGATTTGAGTCAGGTTTTATAAAATAATTGACATATGTAGAGTTCCTATTAGTTTTTCAATGTGAAAGTCATCGTTATAACCATAGCAAAACTTTTTAGAGTCTCCAAATTAGGTATCTTTTTGTACTTAACTGTGCAGCTTTTGCTCAAGGAGTCTTTGTGCCAATCACTTTATAAGTTTATTAGTTTAGAAATGATTGCAACATCCCGTTAATAAAATGGAAACGTAAAATGACTTAGTATCTTAAATAACTTCAAGCTATATTGTGGCTCTTCTTCATAAGAATTATTGAACCAACAAGAAGCAGATTCAGCCCAGCAAGACTCTGATGCCCCAGTGGAAATTATTACTTATAAGCCTTAACTGGCATAGCTTTGCACTGCTTTGCCTAAGAAGTACAATACAACTCAATTAAGAGTTTATCTTTAGGAAACAGTTCGTTATCTTCACACAGCCATAAAAAAAGTTTAGCAATTTAATGAACAGTCTTCCTGTCATAATTTTGGCAATATCATAAAATGGTTTTAGACCTGAAAGAGCTATTGTGATTTAGAAGACTTTAAATTTTCTAAACCAATTAAACTTTTATTGGCTCTAAATGGAACAATATATTGCAAATCCTCATAACCTATGGGCTCAATATAGGAAAGTTACCCTAGAGTCATAACTCCAGTAACCTGATGCTGACTCACCTGCTTAAAAGATGTCACCTTTCAAGAAAAAGATAAGGAGTGGCCAGTATATGTATTTATCAGGAAGAATACAGTAAAGGCCACATTGCTCAGTCCAAGATCCCTAAAATGAGCAAAATGAAAAGGCTGTAACTTATACTAGATGTCAGTTGACAGATTATCCACTAAAATATCTAGTAGCTAACGTCTTCGGTACTGCTGTTATAGGGGCATTCAAAGCTTGTGTCTGCATGTTGGAAAGATTTTCTTTAAAGCAACATTGGTCCAAACATACAACAGGTCAAC